CAGCCTCAGGAGCATGTGCAGTGGTGGGGAGCCAACCCTACTCCCTAGATAAGCCACCTGAAGCCCTGTCCTGCTCCCCTCCATGGCCTCGTGGCTGCACACTGTAACCCCAGACCCCAAGTCTTAATGTGTTGCTCGGCTGGGCAGCAGCCCCAGCCTTGCCCAACTTCCTCCCTCTGTTCCCCCCCACCTCCCCCATACACACACACCCATCCACCCCCCTGTGGGAGTTTCCTCTGTGTGCATGTACATGCACATGGAGCCCCCTACCTGATTGCCCTCCTCTCACTCCCCACAGCTTCCTGCAGGCTGGAATTCTGACAGCCTGCAGAGAGAACGAATCCACAGGTTTCTCTGGCAAAATGGGAAATCTGAGGTTTCCTTTGGCAGAGGGGAAAATTAGTTGTTTTCTCCGTTTTTCTGTGGGAAACAGAAAACCTGAACCCCTGATGATCAGGTTTAGGTGCTTTTGGTCTTTGGGTGAGAGAGTATAATGTGGTGACAATAGATTAAAAAATTAGTGGGTGGCTTCTACTGACTAAATATATGGGCAGTCTATATAAAGGAGTGTAAGGGAACAGTTTCTCTACATCTTTAAATTTCTCAGAACTGTTAGCTCTGAAGCATAACAGAAGATGTTTTTTGTAGTCCAAAATAACAAGTGGCCATTAAGTAAAATTGACTAGGTAAGTAAGAGTAATTGGGTTCAATATTTAAGAGGTAGGAAGAAATATTCACAAATTAGCATGACAGTATTCCCTTTGGGAAGGCAGGGGGATTAAATTTTTTTTAAAGTTTAAAATCTTTAAAGAACGTAATTGTACCTTGATGGCAAAAATGAAGTTAAAATTCATAGATTTAGCATGATGATCTATAAGGTCCCTTCCAGCCCCTAACATAAGGTGACTTACACTATTATTGAGAGGCACAAAAAACCTAAACAAGAGCAGGAAGGCAAGAGAGAGACTATGTAGCTGTTAATAGCTATGGTCAGATCTATCAGGAAATGGCAGTCCAATCCAAATTAAATCAATAGAAGTAGAAGCGAATGGTTTATTATCTTCTAGTCACTTATGCCCCTTATTCAAGTGGTTAGCTTCATTCATAGATTTTGTTAATGACCTATGGAAAAGGTTAGATGATATCAGTGGGCAAAAAACTTTTAAGGTATTTAAAAATTACTTCTTTCTAAACTAATAGAAATAATCTGATGTCACAAGATGTAAGGTACTGGCCAAAGTTTAGTAGGATTAATGAAGAGATTATATAATTATGACCGACAAGAAAATTTATATTTTATAGCTTAGAAAAGCTTGGATTGATTAAACTGCCATGTTTCAGGGCATTAGCCTCTTCTATGCAACAGAGGGATGGAAAAATCTCTGTATCCTGGAATGCTGTTTTTGTATTGACATTTCTAGCATTGTCCTCTGAAACAAACTGGTGTTACATTGTCAGGATAATGAATGAGGTGTAACATTTACTGTCCAAGCCCCCAAGGTCTGGAATAGTCTGCCACCAGAGGTGGTTCAAGCACCTACTTTGAACGCCTTCAAGAGAAACCTGGATGTTTTTCTTGCTGGGATTCTATGACCTGAGCTGACTTCCTGCCCCTGGGGCAGGGGGCTAAACTTGATGATCTTTGAGGTCACTTCCAGCCCTGATGTCTATGAAATCTTTGAAACATCTATGCCAGTACAGCTGTTGCATGTCCACATTATGCTGATGCCATGGAATCTCTATTCAAAACCTGAAAAGCTACTGCTTGGTTGTTTCCAATAAGGTTTCCTTCAGATTGACTTGCTTATTGATTGGAGACAATAAAATAGAATGTTTGATTTAATCTTGGGTCTCAGGCCAATAGAATTGCTGTCACCAGGCCCTACTGTTGGTTGAGAAGAAAGTATGTTCTCCACATGAAGAGTAGAGCAGTAGTGTTTCCTTTTTTTTTTTTTTCATGGAATCAGAAAAATAGAGCTGGAAGGGATCTCTGGAGGTTATCCCATCCACCCTCCCTGTCTGAGGCAGGATCATCCCTATCCAAACCATTTTATACAAGTCTTTGTCTAACCTAATACTAGTACTACACAGTCCACTCTGCCACACTAGCACAAGACATAGGCTGCTTGCAAACATTAAAAAAACAAAATGGTGCTTTAAACTTGACATGTTCCCACATCGAACCCCGTGCATGTCCAGAAGAGGCAGCGCCGCCTTAGTTGGACCTGGCTCGCCTGATGTTTGTATAGATTGAGCACTTTAGTAGGGCTTTTTTGGCACTTTTATCTAACAGCTGATTGAATCAGCTTTAGCTATAAGCACCAAAAAGTCCAACTAAAGTGCCAGTCTATACATGCACTGTGGAGCCATGTCGAAGTAATGCCCTGCTGTTTCCAGTAAGCGCTGTTTGGTTGTTTTTTGTAATGTCTGCAAGCAGCCATAGTGCCCAGCCCTGCCACAGATAAAGCAGGGGATCACTGGCAGCCAGTGTCCTGCTGCTGTCAGGGTTGTTTAATATGCTTGAGAGATCCAAGGAAGGGAGCCAGGTCCCACCACTGCAGTAGAAGGCTAAAAACCCCTATAATCCATACTACTATGACCATAGTGTAGAATCCCTTCCTGACTCCAGATGTGACAATTGATCTGACCCTGAGCAGGGGGCAATACCTTCTAGCCAGGAACGTCTGGGTTTTAGTCCCAGCAGAAGCATTGGCACACCCTAGTCTAAATCGCCAGCTTTGGTTGCAGCCAACACCCAGTGCTTCTGAGGAAAGCAAACCCTCCCACCCCCTTCCTGGACATGTGTAGCAAACATGCCATGTGGCAACCAGCAAAGCCCAGAAACATTTTGTAGTTTTTTAAGTGTATTGAAAAGCTTAGAAAGTCTAAAGCAAGCTGCCTTTTGAAGAACACTTGCATGTTTTGGATCTGTTGATCTCTAACCAACAAATGCATAGCTCTTAACTGCATGTTTTTTCTTGCTTGGTTTGTCACTTGTCTCCAGATGAGGTGCCATTCTGCAATCCTTACACTTAGTGGTGCTCAACCTCTGGCCTATGGGCCAGATCTGGCCTGCAGGGCTGTGTCATCTGGCCCAAAGGTCTCCCCACAGGTCAGGAAATCTGGTGGTGGGAGGTGGTAGCATTGTTGTTTGCTGTTTCTCTGCTGCCAAATTTCTGGACCCTTTGGGAGCCCTGTGAGCTGAATGGCATTGTCCTATACAGGAGCGGTCCTGCTGAACACAGATGTACTTAATTTACAGGGTTTAACCAGGGACCTTGAGATAATGGTGGGAAAACTACTGTGCAGGCTGTCTTCCCAAACTATCCAGTTTTATTGATTTGTATAATTTAGCATTTTATACCTGAAATGAGGAATTTTTAGACAGTGTGGTATATATCCTGCAGAGGTTTCCCTGGATGCTTTTTGTTACCATGCTAAACTGTCATTTGGCAACTTCAATAATTACTGAAATGGAAAAGTAAAATTAAGGCGGTATTTTGTATATTTTATGAGACTTCTACCTGGAAATCAGGCGTTGGTACCACATGACCAGCTAGGTTCCACATAATTCACATTTCAGAAACTGGTACCCCGGCCGTCATCTAGTTAACATGAATAAGCTCTGCTAATGCTCCTGATTCCTTGAGAAGCTTCATTTCAGATCAGCCTGCCTGACAGCAACTAAAAAGATTTTTAGCTGATTTCAGCTATTTTGATTCTCATGGAACTGTTTCATTCTTAACCATCTGATTGTTTGTTCCTGGACTTCTTCCTTGGGAGCAAGAATGAATAGGACTTCAAAAGGCTTGTTTCTGCAAAGACAGGAACAACATCATCTGTAGTGTTAAGAATGCTGCTATAATAATATCAAATCTTCAGTAAGCCTCTGACTGTAGGAAGCCCTGTCAAGCACCAGTGACTGTTTAATTTCACTACACAAATCCTGCATCACTGGATTATAAATCTGTGCTGAAAATCTAAGATCTTAACCTCTGGTTTTGTTAAAACTGAACAGCTGTTGAGGTGGAAGGTGTATCTTTTAAAGCATGATGTCACCGTTGTCATCAACTACTCAGTCTTGTTTCCATGTTCTTTTTTAATGTATTTGGCACAGTTACAAGTTGATTAAAATCTTTTTTTTCCCCCCTCTCTCCACAGGCTGATGAAGATCCAATCATGGGATTCCACCAGATGTTTCTATTAAAGAACATCAATGATGCCTGGGTTTGCACCAATGACATGTTCAGGCTAGCGTTGCACAACTTTGGCTGAGCTGGCATCCCCAGGCACCAGTGCTTTCTTTCTCCTCTCCTCTTCCTGATATTATTCACACTCACGGAACATTCCAAATATCATACACAAACCTGCAACACCGCAGCGAGTGAGTGAGCAAGACCTGTGATCTGCCCTTCTGCTGAGTTTACATTGTCACTAGATGAGTTCCTTGTGCATGATGTTTGGAAGTTAGACTTAGCTGCATTTGACAAGAGAAATTTGTGTTGTACCAGCATGCCTCGGAAAGAATCCATAATGCAAAAGGTTGCTTGTTTATGTACTGACAAGTTGCTTTAGTAACCCAAAGAAATGAAAGGAAAGAACAGCAGCCTATACAGCCCAGATATTCATTTGTTCAGATGTTTCAATGCTACATTACACAATAAAACCATGAGATTTTCTTAACAGTTTAAATTGTTTTAATGAGTGCATAACTGTAAATTTTTACAGTCAATTCTTTGGTTCTCCCGTGTCTGCCTCTCTGGGAAATGTTTACAGATCTAAAACCCTTGTAACCTTTTAGTGCTAACAGAACACTCCGTCCATGTTTTACTGTTGCAGGTTAGGGCAAATATGCCTTTGCCATAGATATAGATATCTTCTCTTCCCTGTCCCCCTCAGCGTGGAGGCTTTGGGCTCAAATGTTGATATTCCCCTTTAAAAGATTTGACTTTGAAGTTTTTTCTTTAATGTATTAATCGTTCTACATAAAACAGAAGATAATGCATAATCTTGACAATCCTGGTGACTTGCATTAGTTGATATGTCATAACATTTGCTGTGATGTCAGTCATTGCTGAGCCCTCCTTGCTAAATAGGCCAGCAGTATTTCCCCTGTGTTTAAACACCGGGTAATATAACTTCCAACTTCCTGAATGGTCTGTAGAACCTTTTCTGGTTTCTGGTTCCTTTTTCAAAATTGCATTTAGCTTCAGTGTCCTGGCTAAATTCCTGTTCTGGTTTAGCTAATCTAAACCTGTCCTGCAGTTTTGAATTGGGTATGGCATTCTTTGTACTCTGTCCTAAACCAATGCATAGTGTTCTTAATGTTATGCAGCCAGCTGCTACATGTTGCCCCAAGGGTGGCAGCATTTCACTAGTGAAGTGCATTTTTCAAGTATGTTTATATTTTCCAAGATAAGAAGTGCCACATAAATAGGACTGGCTTCTTCACTTCATAGCTGAATAGCCTGCTGGTTCCAGATTTCAAGGCTCAGTATGCCCAGCTTGGTCTGATATTTTTTTTTTTTTTTCAAAAGTGCACAGAACTCAGTGATTATGACTTTTAAGAAGTCAAGAAAACTTGGTATGATGTGCTTAGCTGCTCAATTCCTGAATTTCTGGCCACTTAATTTGGTGTCTAAATTGGAGTTGAGCTTTCATGAAAACTGATCTTGGGGCTCTCTAAAATGATACAATAAATGTACTGTCTTTGTTTTTATAGTAGTATTAGCAGTCACTTGCTCTTCTATTACTCACTGTCTGTTTGAAAGTTAAATGGAAATAGAATACTGAATTTCCTAATGTGCTCCTTTGGCATAGAAGTAGTTCACAATGTTAATCCCTCCAAGGAATTACTCCTTAAGAGAAAGATCCATATAAACAAAAGAGCCATGCTTTGTGGTCAGGAGCTACTGAAAAAGCCTTCTTTATGGTATTAGCCTCCAGATCCAAATGCTTCCAGTCCACTCTGGAATCTGAGGGAGAAGGACTGACTCTCCAGTCAAACCTGGTGTGCAGAAAGATCTTGTCCACCAAGCCTGGTTGGTCCCTCAGCATCAGCAACCAACTCGATGATTAAGAAAATGTGAGTAGATTAAATACCAGGGTTGAGGGATGCCTCTTGTTCCTGGCAGGCTCTCTGACCTTCAGAGAGCTATTAGCTGCCCTTTGAAGCTTCTTGCGTAACATATTTTTCCCTTTCTCCACATTCTGCTGTTCAGCCCTGGTTCCCCAACCAGAGGAGATATAAGTGCCAATTTTACTTCCTAAGTGAGCCAATGCTGCATAAAATGCTTCTGGGAAACCAATGCATTCCTCGAGCCCTTAGTATGCGGACAAACTTGCTGTCTCTTAGTAACTGCTTCAGCTCAAGGACTTCTTTTAAGAAGAGAAGCCATTTGGTCCAACATTAACTGTTGCATTGATGGGTCATGCACCAGTATCCATTTCTCATTGCAAATGTTGGACTGAAGACTAGTCACTTTCAAATGTTAAGAAGGCTTTTTAGAGGGATAGGGACAGGTAAAGTTGCTGCCCCTTTTAATTCTCTTAGGTGGGAGAAGGTTGAATTCTTTATACCAGAGATTCTTATTCCAAGCAGCCTGTCTTGTCCTGCCCAAACTGAATGAGATTTGGAACCATCTCATGCTTAGCTGGGCTGGAACATCATGTTGGCCTTAATATTTGCAGTGTTAATAGCCATATTAAAAAGGTGCCTTAAGAAAACTCCTTGAATGTGATTCTTGCAGGCATTGGGCACTCCACCTACTCTCATGTGTTGGCTAGAGGATGGGCAAGGGAAGACCATGTTCTCTGCATCTAAGACAGGAATGACTAGCTTATGTTTGTAATTAACCTCTCATTGTGAATATTACCTTTCAACCCTAGTGTATTTATAGTTTATTTTTCTTGATGGCATTTATGTACTGCAGTTGCAGGCAGTATAGATAAATATCTAGATTTGTCTTGGCTAGGGAAAATGAGTTCTGATCCTGGCCCAAACTGAAGGGGGAGAATTTCTAAGGTAGCCTGCACCATAGACTTGAAATTTCTTCAGTTGTGGAAAATGGCACCCAAGAGGCATTGTGAAAAAGCTGTGCCAAATGTCTGACCACCTGGCCCTGTCTATTAGCTATCATACCAGAGCTGCTTTTTTGTGAATGCACTGGAAAGCTTTTATGCTTTTTGTCACAAATAGGACGACTATGTTACCTCTCTCAAAGCTAATACTTCAAATGTGACCCTCCTTCAGAATACCTCTGGGTCATTATTTCTGTCCACTAGATGTAAAAATAAAATGTTACCAAGAGTTTTGCTTATGTATTACTGAATAAAACTTGGCAGTAGATGTCGGGAGAGAGCTTACGCAGTACCATACGGAGGGCATTCTACATACTTAGAGGAAAACATCTTTGTAAAATTGTAGACAATATTCAGCAATAGTTTTGCAGGTAATAAATCAGGTGAACAGTTATGTGGAGTAAAATTATACATTTAATATAAACTATTGTATGATGTTGGCTTGTTCTGATTGTACCTGTGACAAATATGTTAATAAAGATTTCTTTAACAAATGTTACTTGCTTGAGCCCAAGCCTAGAAAATAGAGGCCAAATTATGGCTGGGACCCAGCACTAAGAAACTAGAGACCTTGAGAACCATTCAGTGGAGCTCTAATGGAACATTCCTATCTTTGGGTACTAACTGAAAGGTAACTAAGCCCAATGACCTTGCCAGCTCACCCTCTTTTCTTCCCAACCACTGTACTAGGAAGGATGCTGTTAAAGTCATGCCACTTCTGTAGCAGGCCAGATTTGTTCTGAGTACCTGAAATTCTTAAGGGAAGATCTCACATCTCCCCAAATGCATTAAATGTGGCTTTCTTTCCTGAACTGTAGTTGTAGGGACAGCAGCTGCTGCCTGTGCTTTCAAACTGTATTGGGTGGGAGAGCTTTCTTGTAATGGAAGACAGCTGTTTTTCACTCCCTGAAGAGCAGCCAGAACCTTCGTGCAATGTTGTCTTGACACGCGGCTTCATGACATCCCTTTCTTCCTGCAGTTAGGCCCACTGTGGTAAACTGGCTAGTGCTGTCAGTTTCATGCCAAGTGCCATTAATAAGGTGTCTGGCATAACTGAAGGTTAAGCACAAGCAAGAAACTTTTAGCCCAGCCAGAAGCAGCAAGTGAAAACAGGCCAGGGGGCTGCATCCTGTATACTCTAGCCCTTGCCTACTACAGTCAAAGCAGGGGAGAAAGCAAAGTGGTATCTATCTGAGATCACAGTATCCCCTGCTACCTTGGTTGGAGGAAGATGGGTTCTGGTTAGGTCCCAAGTGAGCTGAAAGTAGGTTGTGGGAGCAAGCCTCCACCCATGACTCTATGATGCGGAAGTCAGACGTACATGTCCTGGGACAGAGATGCTTCCACGCAGCTGGGAGATGGCAGCCCATTAGGACAAGGAGGAAAGAGATCAACTGAGAAAATAGCACTAAGGTTTCCTCCCAGCCCCAGAGCAGAGGGAGGCTCCCGATGCGGGCCTGGTCTCCCAGGGGAAGACGAACCGCGAGGAGCGGCGCAGGCCTCCTACAGGGAGGCAGGACGCGGGAGCCGCTCTTTTTTTTTGGCGGCGGTTTCCGCGGGCTGAGGCGGTCACGGGCTCCGTCTCAGGCGCCTCGAGCTGCCCGAGGGAGATGCGGCTTTCGCTACCCGTAGGGCTCGGTCCGCCGGCTCCGCTCCTTCCCGCCGCCAGTCCGGGGCCGCGGGAGATGCCGCCCAGCGTGCCCGCAGCAGCCCCGGCCTCGCTTCCAGGCCCCGCCCCCTCGCGCGGAACCAGCGGAGCTGGCGCCAGTTTCCGTCGGTGCCGCGCCGCAGGACCGGAAGCGGAAGTGGGGGTGCGGCCGGGGGCGCGGAGCGGCGGCAGTGGCAGCGGCAGGGCCGGGCCCATGGCCTCCGCCAGCATCGACATCGAGGACGCGACCCAGCACCTGCGCGACATCCTCAAGCTGGACCGGCCTGGAGGTGAGGCCGCGGGGCCGGGCCGGGCACGCGGCTCCTCTGTCTGGGAGCAGCGCTGAGG